TAGCAAACGATTGATGTAGAAAAGATCACATAGTTTTAACCATCCCAAACTAGATAATACTCTTTCACTTGATGTTCCTTTCATACAACCTAACACAACAAGACCAGCATGGTACTGAATTGTTTCCTTGTTGCTACAAACAATCAAAAGATTTATAAAACCATTTTACTGATACTTCCCAGTTAATAGTATTCTTATATCAGCACAACTGAAACACTCATCTCCCCTGAAAGCCTAGGGTTATAGCGAAAACATGTCCGTTCGATCGTCTACAACAGAGTACTGACACATACACACCTGTAAAGTAGTGAGATAAGGAAAAAAACATAATTACTATTTTTAGCAGGCTTTTTTTCTTTCCTCACGTTTTACGCATAGCGACTTGTGATTTTTTCATCAATCAGATTTAAGTGTCGTCCAATTTCGAACGCGACTGTTTGCTTCTGTGCTTTATATATGCTAGTGTTCAAGATTCTTGTACCTCTTTTACCACGTTTTTGTTCTTCGGTATTTTTTTTATATTATTTCGAAACACTCTTGTGGAGCCTGACATGTTAGTTTGTGAAGAGTGGTACATACGATCAGAGATGAATAACAACATTTTATCTCTAGATTTTCGCTTTTATTCAATGTTTTTCTTCTTTTTTTTCAAAACCAAAGAAGTAAAATTTATATACATATCTACTAATTGATAACATTCTTTTCTTACTTGGTGTTCATATAAAGACCAAAATTGATTTAATATTTGTTCGATATCTTCTTTTAGTCGATTATTTACTAATAGTGCATGTTTAAGAGTCGATTCAGACCAACTACGAACGTATAATGCCATTGATCGAACAAATTCATCCAGTGTCATTTGTCCATTTTGCCATTGCTCGATAAAAGGCATTTTAACAGAACCAGAATCAGATTTAATCAATTCAAAAGAGTAACGAGCAAAGAGTTGATCATCGATACATTCTGAATATGAACGAGTATATATCGGAAATGTATAATCAAGTAATTCTTGCGGAGTAAGATAAGATCGAGCACATTTATAGAGAAGTTCTCTGACAATATCTAAACCATTTGAGCCTCGATCGTCAACAGAGGGAAAAAGAAGAATAAGTATACCACCGGGAATCAATTCATGTGATCGATGTTTGAGAAAATGAGTCCAATCGAGACGAGCTTGCTCCTGAAATGCTTTGAGTTCGTCACCTTGTGCAAATGGAGATGCACAATGGTTTATATATTGCATGGTTTACGTGAAAGCCAATGAAGCGACGTGGACGAATAACCAATCGAGACAGAATTTGGAGGCAGACATGGTTCATAGAAAGATCGACCATTAGCCACGCCATGATAGGAGTTGTCTTTATTAAGAAGTTCAAAAAGTGCTGTCCAGTCATTAGTTGGTAGATCATTATGGACAACCAGAATCTGACTTCCATCTTCTACTTTCTTGGCTTCTTTCAAACACTGAATAATCATCTTCATGACATACATTGAATTGTGTCCCTACGCTGAACCAAAATCAGCAATGGTGAAAGGAGAAGAAGAATGTTGAGTATCCAGCACGTTGATTGCTTCACGAATATCTTGAACGGTTGAATCGCCTATCGCCAACTGAGGACGAGAATTTTCATTATAACCTTCACCCATAACAAGAATTTCTCCTATGTGCGCTGCCATTTATCTTCGTCAATAACAAGATAATACTTGAGGAGGTAGTCGTTATATGTTTCGACAAGGTAAGAACACGTGACAAACAAAAAGGATAGTTATAATTTATTAAATGAGATAGAAACGAAAAGAAACAAAAAGCGGTCTTATCTCTATTTTCATGGTACTTTAAAAGCGCTCGGAGTTCTCTATTTGGTAGGACCAAGGTTTTTGAATCCCGTTCCTGGAAATTCTCTGAAAAAAACTTATATTTAAGTATCGAAAAAAGAATTTTAAGCTGTTTTACAAAATTATCGAAAAATATTTCTTGATTCCAATGCCGGTCTCGGTTAAAAAGCCTTTTAATCACAGTCCACGTCCCGCCTATGTCTACACGATAGACAATGCTACGAAGATAGATAAGAGGGATGTAGAAATGGCGAAAATACATATACCAATTAGAAGACTACTAGTGACTCGACATGCAATGATAAGAAGTATATCTATCGCACATAAAAACACCTATAGCATAATATGGATTCCGGTATCATTGTAACGATCACAACTGACGGTAGTATGTTTGTGTCAACGATAAGAAACAACGTATGATGACTAAGCATTTAAGAAGGCTCTTTGATCAAACGCTCTTCTAAAACCATCCAACGTTTTCCATTTTTACCAAAAACGAGGAAAATGAAGAAAAAACTTTATTTAGGAGGACATGAGGACGAGTACGATGCAAGATAACGACAAATCGAAAAGTTGATCCGATCGAGCTGAAAGTTTTACTTCTCTGGTATCTATCTGAGGTTTTAAAATTTTTTTGCAAAGTATGCCAAGACAATTTCTACGCAAAACGGACTTGAAAGTTTTGAAAAAAAGCTTCACATCATCATTGAAAGTGAATAAAAAGTTAAAAGAAGAGGCATTTTACCTAAACGTCCATAACTTTAGAGCTGCTCTCTGCTTTTAAGTGCATTTTGTGTAGAATTGTCTCTTCTGCGGAAGTATATATGGTTTGTTTCTATTACACGGTTCAGGTTTTAAAGGTTCACAGACAAATTCAAAAGCTTTTTTGATTTAACGGTTTTACACCCTAAACTTCACTTTCAGTTTAATGAAAGTGCCGCCATTTTATCAGCTTTTTCTACTCTTTCGAATGAAATCTTGTTCTAAAGCATCAAACACAAAAAATAGATAAAATACTAATTGTGGTGTACTTTTTGAGCAAAATTGATGGTGCTTTTTGGAAAATTTTATTTTCTCAACAATTAAAAGGTTTCATATTAAAAAATAAATTTAAATTTGTAAGGGGAATGCTTTCAAAGAGAAACACTTTGTGTCATGCGATCGGCTATGGTAATAGTGCTCTATGAGATCAAAACGTTTCTAGTAAGAAGCATCACATGAGGCATTTAAGGGTTTGAAAGCATGCCCTTTTGAGTGACAATGTCAGGAGAATTTTACCTACTTGTCAAGCTGTCTCGGGTTCGGGTCAACTCACGTTCGGATCGAGTAGGGTGCGGGTCATGTCTGGTCGACTCGCTTCAGTCTCTGCAGTGTTTTGAGGAAAATTTTATTTTCTGTCTAGATTCATTCCCAAAACCTTTTGAAGACAATATTTATCTTCTAAATTGTATAAGTAACATTTTGAAAAACCATGGTTCTTTGACGATTCGTTTCCAGGGTTAAAAGTAACATTAATTTCTCTGACAATCACGCGCATTTTCTTCCAGTATTATCCAATATTATTATTATTACATTGCTGTCTCGAAAAAGGGTAAAGTGGGTTTTGAAAAAACCTTCTGCAAACTCCCTGGAAAACATCCGGTCTGCAGATTAGCAAGCCCCTACGTTTGTTCAGTTTTGCACTCTGTTATGAATGGTGTACTTAAAAGTTATGTTATTTGCTTAACTGGAAATTAAATTTTAACAAAAACGTTCGAATTAAGTTTTCAAAATCTAAGAAACATGCTTTTCAAAATGTTCCTTATACAATTTTGGAGGTAATTATTGTCTCTAAATAGTTTATGTACTGCCACATGACTATATGTATGTACGTCCGTCACACTGCCACATGATTGTACGTATGTCCGTCCGTCACACTGCCTGTATAACATATTGCCTGTATTAAAATCTCACGCCGCGATTGCTAAGCGTGCCCGACCAACTCATATTTTACAAAACAATTTCTAATTCGCGATCGGCCGGAAGAGAAGGGAAGACTACTCCTTTACTATTAAAGATGTGGCGTCTCTTATGAAGTCCAAAACTTCATACACCCGCCGTTTCACGTCAAAGCCTGGCCGTTTTCTTGTTGACTTTTAATAAAAAATATTTTATTTTCCTTCAACAAGAAAAATGAAATAAAAGTAAAGGTAAATCAAAACTTATAACCACATAAATTTAATAAACTACTAAAGATAAATTGTTGTTAGAGATGAGTTCAATAAATTGCTCAATAGCAATTGTTTTCAGCGTCGTAAACTCGAAACCCGTCTCAATAGAGTCGATACTAAACTAATTTCAATGGTCAACGTATCACGAATTTTCCCATTACAATGAGACTCAGTCCTTTAAAGGAACAGGTTTGAATCTCGAAAAGTTGGTCCCACGCATCCCTTACACTAACCTCTGCTTCTTTGCGTACTTTGCATATTTCATTGCGGTAACTGTGGAATTAAAAACTGCTCTGATCGCTCCTCATTGGTCATGATCTGATAGAAATGAGCGTCTGAATTTGATTCAGATTAGTTATAGCTGAATATTGAATGCGTCTAACGAGATCTGTTATATTTAGACAGATTAGACTTATAAAGATGTGAGTATGTTAGTGACTCAGTGAATATAAGTATCAAAAGAAGGTACTGCATATATACATAATCCAAAAATAAATTTTCCTGACTCTGACCCGTTAAAAGACGGAGTGTCACGTTAGTGTACTTTGCTTGAGTGAGTCGATTCATCAGTGAAACAGACGTGCAATTTTTCCAGTGAGTAAATTATTTTCGTTTCGTTCATGGTATATAAGTGTGCAGAATAGAAAAAACACTGAGCAATGTGTTTTTAATGAGTTAATAAGATCCAAAATAGTGTACTCTTTCGAAGCGTCTGACTTGAAGTTAAAATCTGCTCAAAATCTTAAAGATTCATGAACAAATCGAGGCCAAATCCTGATAGTATTTTTCTTAGTTTTGTCTGAAAAAATCTTGTTCGAGATCATGTCAAGCTTTTTTAAAAACTGACTCCAGCATATCCTGAAAAAGCTTGGCTAAGCTTTGAAACTAGTTTTATAATTAACAAAATTTTTATCAACAAAGACAATTAGTGGTTAGTTTGATTGCGAAATGAATCAGAGAATCGACGGTAAATTTTTAAAGTTCAACTCAGATATTGTGTTAAAATGGGTGACTGGTTATTCATGCACGTCTTAGTAGCCCTGGTACCATTTGTATAGTAAGGTGCACGTAATTCAAGTAAGTCTAATATAAAATACATCATTCGATGCAGAATTCGTCGCTGATCTCGAATATCTACCGCTTAGCTTTAAAAAATTGGTTTTTGAATGAAAACTTCAAAATACTAGATAGGTCTCAAATTTCGAAAACCCTTCGGTTTCAGAAAAGTCCAAACGTTTTTGTTTTTCTTCTTGTAACTTTTCGACAATATTTTTTCGGATTCAGCATTAAAAACTGAGCCTGAGAATGATACTTGATCGAGGTTGAAGTAAAGGTCTATCCAGTATAATCGTCTTGGACTTAGACTCCTGCGAGGCTGCCCCGAATCCAATCCCGTCTGTCCCGTCCCGAGGGACAGACGGGGTAGGGACAAAAAATAATTTATGGACTTGGACTCACGGACTCGGGCTCATGGGCTCGGGCTTACGGAGTCGGAACAAATTGCAGAAAAATGTTGTCCCGTAAGTTTTATCTTCTGATTGTAATTATGCTATAACTTCAAATGTTTAATTCTTGTAATACTATCAAATCAAAAGTATCGATATTCATCGGTATCGATATTCATTCGGTATCGATATTCATACCGAAATACCGATACTGAAAATACCGAATTTCGATATATATCGATACCAGTACATACCTAATCAAAACCGTAATTTTATAATAACTAATAAAATTAACCTGGAGAGACGAAATAGTCTGCATTTAAACTTGAGATGTTCCATATCTAAAACTCGGTTTACAGTTGTTTTCTTTCGATTCGCAGATAGTGAATGGATGTAAATCATTCTTGTATACAGCAACTTTTAAGTTTAGAAGCAAATAAATTAGGCTTAAATTTTGTTATGCGATTTTTTGCAAAAATAAGTTTGAGACTTTAAGTGTCTCTTGTAACAGTTACGGTTTATCACAACAGAAAAAACTTTTCAAAATATTACGGGACAAAAATACTCGTAAATTTTTTTCACCGGACAGACGGATTCTGGATAACATTATTTGCTCACGGGCTCGGGCTTACGGGCGCGGGGCAACAGAAAAGTTTGTCCCGCCGGACTCTACCTGGACTTCATCTGTCAAAGGTTCCTAGACAATTTTGCTAACCTATCTAGGTCTTTTTGTAAAGAAATGAAGCCGACTT